CTTATTCTACTGAGCCATTTCCCCGGCCCTCTAACTGGCTTTTTTAAAAATCCAGAATCGGTATCATTTTCTTCCCACTGTTCAGCTACTCTGTGAGACCCTGAAACTCTGCTTCCAGCCAGGTCTCCGTAGGAAGCGGCCCCCTTCTCTCTACCTACCAGGCCACTGTGGCTGGCTTTGGCAGCAATCTTGGGCAGCCTGCCCATAAGAGAGAATAGAGGATTGTATTCCTTGCCAGGACTCTTGAGGCCCAGCTCTGGAACAAAAGCCTGGGAATCTGTCTCAGGCAAGTCATCCACTGCCAGCTTGCAGGACCTGCTGAGACCTCCAGGATTTGTTCTCCTTGGAGTTCAGTGCTTGATTCCATCTTTGCAGACTTCCAGGAGCCAGCCAGATGGCAATCATCCTCACCTGTTGTTACCCAGAGGCTCTGGAGCCCTCCCGTTTCAGTTTTCTATAAAACCTTTAATTGCCTGTCACTTCTCTCTTCATTTAAAAGCTTGAAATAAACACTGAGATGAGTGAGTCATGTTGGGTTGGATGCAGCCTGCTTGGGTGTGCCTGTTCCTGAGCACCTGGCTGAGTTGCCTGGAAGTCTCCCCCACTGCCCGTCCAGAGGCTGCGTTTGTCCTGTTCAGCTGTTGACTCATTCTGTAGTTCTTGGCCAACCCCATTCCCTCCTCTGGGGTTTATTGTCTTCACAGGAACACGAAGGGGCCATGTCTCAAATGTGTTTTGCTTCCCACACCAGAAAAGTAACCAACCAGGGGTTTGTTGTTCCTACCTAGCAAGAAATCCTGAAGGAAATGCTAGGGCTCATGTGGTGGCTCTAAATAGAAAGCCATTTCTCACTTTCTCCTTGGCAATCTAATTTTGTCCTTATTTCTTGTTGCTTCCTGATTGGAGAAGGCTGATCTTTGCTCTCTAGCGAGGGGACAGCTTGTATCAGGAGTGCAAATGTTTCCCCAGTTTATGTCATCATTTGTGGTCACTCCTAGTTGCAAGAGAATATAGCAAATAAACCATTTAAGCTGGATTCATTGCCTTTTAGAACAAACATGGGTTCTATTAATAAGTGTCTTACTTGACTGTTGCTGGGCAGTGTTTACACAGACATTTACCCGTGTAGGAAAAAAGGAAGAATGAATATAGTGTTGGCAATTAGTGTGTTTACTGCAGGGGATTAGAGCTGAACTGTGAGTGCCAGAATCAGCTTATTCATTTATAATCAACATTAAAAATAGGGGTCATTGTGTATAAATGCTGCACATAAATATGTATACACATACACAAGGGGCACAGTGAAAAAGTTGTGTTGTTCTCTGGGCTCGGAAACTTCTGGGCCTCAGTGCTTTCATTCTTTGACAGGGTTTGGTGGTGAGTGTCCTGCTGACCCCCTTCCATGTGAGGAGCTGTGTGATGGGGACGCATCTTGTCCCCAGGGGCAGAAGTGCTGTAGCACTGGCTGTGGCCACACCTGCCGTGGAGACATCAAGGGAGGTAGGTGCCAGCCTCCTCAATCCCCCAGTCGTGGTGAACCAGGGCACTTTACCATTGAGCTATGTCTCTAGTCCTTTTTATTTTTTATTTTGACATAGGGTTTTGCTAAGTTCTTGCTAACTTGCCCAGGTGGCCTCGAGCTTGTGCTCCTGCTGCTGCAGCCTCCTGAGTAGCTGGGATCACAGGTGTGTGCCACTGCCTGGCTGGTGTGCTGGCTCTTTTGGGAAGCAGTACTTAAGTGCTCCCTGAGTTCCAGAGTCAACTTGAGAGGGCACCAGTTGTCAGTTTTCTTCTTACCCTAACCTTTCATCCAAAGTAATCCTTCCTTTTAGGCTCGAGGAGCCCATGTTGGCCTGAAAAGAGCTAGAGGGAAGGCAGTGTGCAGGGGTAGGAATAACTTCTCTTAATACTGGCAGCTTGCTTCTGGTCTTGGTTCTGCTGTGGATTTGTCCGGAGACCTTGGTAAACAAACATCTCTCTTTTTTTTTAAAAATTATTTATTTATTTTTATTACATTTATTTATTGTGTGTGTGTGTGTGGCCAGCTCAGCCCACCAGGGGTGCGGGGCTGGCTGGCATGTGGTGCTGGGGGATTGAACTGCGGTCCCTGTGTTTTGCCAAGCTTGTTTCAAGTAGGTGCTTTAGACCACTGAGCCATCTCTCCAGCCCAAACATCTCTTTTTGAGCTCAGTTTCCTCATCTTGCAAATGAGTGCCAAAGATCACTGATTTCCTCAATTGCAGCCCAGAGTTTCCTTGTGTCTTGAATGAAATCTTGGGTGGAAGCTGGACATCTATATTTGATGACAAATAAATGAAGTTTTCCTGTTTCAATTTTTTTTGTTGTTTAATTTTTTTAAAATAAATTTTTGAACATTACTTTTGTGCCAGGCACTATAAAACTGTTTTAGAATCATCGTTCCAGATTCTTAGTCCCTTTAATATTCCCAGGCAATGTTTAAAGTGTTGAGGATGGTCTCTTAGCCTGGAGCCTTAGCCAAAGGATAGCCTATTAGGGAAGACATAATTAAATAAGGAATTATAGATGCTTCTTCACTTATGATGGGTCACTCCTGATTAAACACTTTGTCAACTGAAAGTCCCCTAAGTTGAAAGTGCATTTAGTGCACCACCCTACCAAACAGCCTAGCTTAGCTAACAGCTGGCACACTGTAGGGTATCATTTGTGTACACTGTGGTCATGTGACTGGGAACTGTCTCCTGTTGATGCAGAAGTTTGGGAGAAGATCAAAATTCAAAATTGGAAGTATAGTTTTTGTTGAATATGTATCACTTTCGTATCATTGTAAAATTGACGAATTGTAATTTGAATCATTCATAAGCCAACAACCACCTATAAACTAAAGTCTGAAGAGAGGAGGCACATATAGGATATTACAGGAGCACAGAGCAGGGACACCAAATCTTGTCCAGGGCATGGACAAGGACACGACACTGTGAAGCTCAAGCACAGGAGAGAAAGGGCCATTTTCCTTTGTGTACTCTACTTTGTCCTCCCTACAACCTGCATAGCTGTCAATCATGAGTCACTTTTTTGTTTATTTATGTATTTTTTTAGTATAGAGTTTACAGGGTCTTACTACACAGATCAGACTCATAGTGATCCTCCTGTTTTCAGCCTCCCAAGGGCTGGGATTACAGCTGCGCACCAACAGGCCCAGTCTCAGTGCGCCCTGGTGGTGGGGCTGGCACAGCATGCCGGGGTTCAAACCCCAGTCCCTGTGCCTGCCTAAGCAGGCTATTTAGTCTGCTGAGCTATTGGCCGGCCCAATCGTGAGTCACTTTTATAGGGAACTCTCTCTAGAGCACCATTTGAAGGCTCTTATTAGCTCAGAGGTCTTTGGATATCTGTAGATTCCCAGATTCTTCAGCTTCCCTTTCTCAGACAAATTGGTTAAGATCTCACTAGGGTTCTGGGTTTAATTCACCTGGAGATTTTAATTCACCTTAAGATTTAGATGGGAAGTTTGGGACAGTGAAGTCAATGTTCTGTCCCTTTTCTGTTCCTTTCCCCTTCTACAGGGCGGGGTGGTACTTGTCCGGACATTCTGGTGGGCCTGTGTATTGTTGATTGCATGGTGGATGAAAACTGTCCAGCTGGGCAAAAGTGTTGCAAGTCAGGGTGCGGACATTTCTGTGTCCCACTAACCACGCCTCCCAAACAGACTATAAACTCCAACTGGACAATCACTTCCAATTTGGAAATAGGTGAGTATAGTCTATGGTTGCCATCAACCAATTAAGTTAATAGACTTAACTGCTCTATGTCAAGTCTGTTTTAGATATTGGGAAGAGGACTTTTGAAGGCCAGGAAATGTCACTGGAGAGAAACATTCCATGTCATAGACCAGAATACTAGTATGGAAAGTATTAGCTTATAGGTATTGAGTTGGTGTGGTTCCCGGGACTGGTGTTTCTGGGAGAGGAGGGATTTGATCTCGTTCTCTAAAGGTGAGGTACATGTGACAAAATGGAACTAGCACAGAGAAAATGCCGGACTTACAATGTGATTGCTAGCAAAGGCACAGAGGAAGGGAATGTATGTCACACGTTTGGACAATGGGGGCTAGAGAGAGGGTGGGTAAAGGAATATGCTTTAACTTCTGAATGGCAAGAGTTGTCATTAGGAAGCAGGCAGCCAAAATACAAGACTCTTCTATGTGGAGGGACAAACATATTGAGTAGCCAGAGTCGGGAGACTGAGTTGTGATTTGATATTTTTTCTATTTGCAGAAACTCCAGTGCCCTAGTTGCCTGATTTGTCCAGATATCTTTAGTGAATCCAGAAGGCTTGTTGTGGCAGTGAGGAGAGGGTAATGCCTTGGGGCTTGTAACAGTCCCAGCCTTCTCTGCTCTGCTTCTCTCCCTGCTGCACCCTGGAGCATAGGAAACAGTCCAGACTGGGGAGTGGATGTTGTTGATTCTCTCCTTTAATAAAGGCTTTGCTAACCCTTGTGTCTATGCTGTCTAAGGTCAGATGAGAAGGGGATCTGAGGGTCTGAATGTGGCTATGTAACAGTAAGACACACTGAGCATGTAAGGACATATTGAGGACATATTGAGGATGGGTGATCATTCTGAGAAGACTGGAAATGAGTGATGGTTGGGTTTGGTTAGGAATAGAAAGGCTGGAAACTAGAATCAGGCTCACTAGCCATAGACGTCTCTTGCAAACCCAGGGGTATGAGTAGAGTTCCTCTTTTTTTCAGAACTGTTGACTTTATTTCTCTTATTGGAGGATGTGGGTTGGGGATACAATAGGGGTAGATGGTTAATTTATTGTAGTTGTTTGAATATTGCCTGCTTGGGCCTCCTTCCTTGAAGGCCAGACGATAGTTCCAAGACAGGCAGTTTATCTCTCCAATTACTTTAACCTAGGAGGGGATGACCCTGTGTTTTTGGGGACAAGTTAACTTTGAAAAATTATCTTTTATATGCCAAAAATAAATCATATTCTATAATTGGGACATCTTTTATATTCTTTAACATTTTTCATTTTCATTTTTTTTGCCAGTTGGCAAAGATATTATCTCACACACCGTATAAGGGTAGTGCATTATTTCTAGAATGGTTAAACATAGCCATGATAGATTGCATTATTACATATATTATTTTAATAAAACTCTGAAGTGGCTAATTGACTTAAATGACCATTTCTTGTTGTATATTAATATCCTTGTACATATACATCTTGCACTATTTTTATAGGAAAATCTAGATAAATTATTAGTATAATTCCAGCTTTTTAAATGGAGTGCCTTCCCTAGGGATGGGTATCAGAGATTGATACTCTAAATAGGTATCAATCACCTTGAAAGAGCCCAAATGAGTACTAACCCAACACTCAACAGGAAGAAACCCTGTCCCGTATTCATGCCCACTTGCTACATGACTCACTTCCCCATTTGGTGCTGGATCTAATTTTACCTGAGCAATGGTGCTTGTAATCTCATTGGTTAGTATTGTCCCACCTCATGCCCACCTACACGAGTTCCCATGTTCTCCACCACCTTAGATCTGGCTCACTGCATGGTTTTACTATATAAAAGTCCTTGGAAGGGACAGCTTCCCAGGGCCACTTGCTCTGGGACACCCTTGTGTTCCTCAGACAGGAGCTTTCTGTCCCCCAATAAATATATTCTGCTCATGACAACAACAGCAACAAAAAAATTCTTGCAAGCTCTCAATAAATATTTGTTGAGTAAATGATTGAATGAATATAGATTCCTAATATATCAATTAAGAATTTTTTGGAGGGGAACATGAAAAATCAGTCCAACAGTTACAAGATTATGCAAAGAATAACAACATAGTATTGAGCAGAGTCAATGAAGAAGCAAGAGTCAATGCAAATGTCAAAAAACCCTTCCACAGATGTCATAGCAGAAAATGTCTCTGGTAGGGAAAAATAATTTGACATATAGAGAAGTAAGGCATGTACAACTCCAATTAGCCATGATCAAAATTAATTTATACCAAGGCATATAATAAGATTCCAGAAATTCAGCACAAGAACAGAATATTAAATGTTGTTAAACAAATCATTTATAGAGGAAAGCCCATCTAAATCACAAACCCTTAAGTCTAGGAGAGCTAGGAGTGAAGTATTTCAAGTCCTGGAAGAAAACAACTGCCCACCCAGATTGATATACCCTGCCAAACTATCTTTCAGAATCAATGCAAAAATAAAGATACTTCCAGGAGAAAGACCAATTAAAGAAATTCATGATCATTGAACTAGCTTTACAAAATGTCCTGAAGGATAATTAACTTAATTTTTTTGAAGGATATTTTAAAAGGGGTAGTGCTGGGATAATGAAGAGCACAGTTCCAAGAACAAAGAAGTCACCAGGTAAGGCAAGCATTTAAACAGAGGGGAAAGACAGGGAACCAACAACAGGAAAATAATCTGAGAAGGACAAGGCAATACATATCAATTATAGCCATCAGTGTAAATGGTCTCGATTCACCACTCAGAAGAAACAGACTGGCAGAATGGGTCAAGAAGCAAAATCCAAAAGTTTATTGCCTAAAGGAAACACATTTAACTCAAAAAAGAATGTATAGAGTGAAAGTCAAAGAATGGAAAACAATATTCCATGTGTCAGGAACCCAGAAAAGAGCAAGGGTACCTATTATATTTGAAGACAATGTGAACTTCAAGGCAAGACTGATCAAAAGAGACAAAGATTACTACATTTAAAAATAACTTTAGGGGCCGGGGAGATGGCTCAGTAGGATAAGCGCTTGACTGGCAAACGCAAGGATCTGAGTTCAATCCCCAGTTCCACAAAAAACAAAAAAACAAAAAACTTTAAAAATGTATTTGGTATAGGGTCTCACTACACAGCTCAGACTCGTAGTAATCCTCCTGTTTTCAGCCTCACCAGTGCTGGGATTACAGGTGTGCACCACCACTCCAGGTCTTGGTGGCCAGCTCAGTGTGCTTGGGGGCAGAGCCAATGAGGCATGCAGTACCAGGGATTGAACCCTGGTCCTTGTGCTTGTCTAAGTAGGCACTTAGTCTGCTGAGCTATCTTGCTGGCCCTCACTACCTACTTGTTAAGGGAAAACCTGAAGAAGAAGGAGAAGGAGAAGGAGAAGGAGAAAGAGGAGTAGGAATATGAGTAGGAGGAGAAGTAGAAAAGGAGATAACAATTATAAATATACATGAATCAAATACACCAATTTTATAAAACATATTAATGGATGTGAAAAATCAGATAAACACTAATTCAATTGTAATGGAGTATATCAGTACCCTACTCTCACAAATGGACAGATCAGCTAGACCAAAAAAAAAAAAAAAATTCCAAAGGAATATCAGAATGGAATCAAGCTTGTGAACAAACTTAGTAGATGTCTACAGTGTTCCCCCCACGTCAGAATACACATTCTTCTCAGCTACACATGGGATGTTCTCCAAAGTAGACCCCATACTAGCTAATAGAACATGCTTAAAATAAATGCAAAGGAATCAAAGTGATCCCATGCATGTTACAAGACTATTGTGCAATGAAATTGCAAATCAATGGCAAAAGAAACCTCAAAAACTACATAAAGGGCTGGGGAAGTAAGCACTTGCTTGGCAAGCACAAGGACCTGAGTTCGATCCCCAGTTCCACAAAAAAAAAAAAAAAAAAAAAAAAAAAAAAGGGGGAAAAGGTTTTTTTGGGGAAAAAAAAGACGCGGTGTCTTCCCCCCCCCCCAAAAAAAAAAAAAAAAAAAAAAAAAAAAAAAAAAAAAAGGGCTGGGGAGATGGCTCAGTAAAATAGGCACTTGCCTGGAAGGCACAAGAACCTGAGCTCAATCCCCAGTTCCGAAAAAAAAAAAAAAAAAAAAGCTTTAGTTTAAAAGCTACACGAATGCCAGGCACGATAGCACAGGCTTGTAATCCCAGCACTCAGGAGGCGGAGGCAAGAGGATTATTTTGAATTCCAGCTTGGGCTACAAAGTGAGCTCAACGTTGACCTGAACTGCATAGTGAGATGCTGTCTCGCTACATAGACACAGAAAAATTCAAAAACACCCTCCCAAACAACCAATGGGTAACAGATAAAATTAAAGAAGAAATTAGTTTCTACAATTAAATGATAATTCCAACACAAGGTATTAGAATTTATGGAATGCAATGAAAGCAGACTATGAGGGAAATTTATACCAGTGATCTTCTACACATCAGGAAAACAGAGCTCAAATAATTTAAGGTTGAACCTCAAACTTCTAGAAAAAGAAGTCAAGCTCAAAGCTCACATGAGGGGGGAAATTATAAAGATTAAAGCAGAAGTTAATGCAACCAAGACTAAGAAAACAATACGAAGAATCAATAAACCTAAAAGTTGTTTTTTTGAGAGATTAAATAAAATTGATCAACACTTAGACAACGTTATCAAGAAGAGGAAAGAAAAGACTCAAATACATGCAATTAGGAATGATAATGATGAAATTACAATAGATCTTTCAGGAATCCAGAAGGTCACAAATACCTACTTCGAGACTCTTAATTCTAATAAGATGGAAAATACAGAAGAAATGGTCATATTCTTAGATCATATGAATTACTAAAGCTGAATTATTAAGATATAAGAAAATTCTAAACAAATCAGCACCAGTCAAATTAAACATGTAATTAAAAATCTACCAACAAAGAAAATCCTAGGTCCCCATGGCATTGCTCATGAATTCTGCAAGAAATTTAGAGATCTAATGTCATTACTTTTCAAACTTTAATGAAATTGAAAAGGAAGCAGGACTCCCAAAGTCATTCCTGGGAGCAGGTACTAATTACCCTGATACTCAAACCACAGATACAACCAAGAAAGAACTATAGGCCAATCTCCCTAATGGACATAGATACACCAATCATAAGATACTGGAGAACAGAATGTAGCAAACTATCAAAAAGATTATGGGCTGGGGAAATAGTTGGGTGGTCTAAGTGCCTGCCTGGCAAGGGCAAGGACCTGAGTTTGATCCCTGGTACCACATGCTGTGCTGCCCTGAAACTGGGCATAGTGGCACATTCCTGTAATTCCAGGGCTGGGGAGGCTAAGACAGGGAGGATCACTGTGGGTCTGAGCCACATAGTGAGACCCTGTGTCAAAAAAAAAAAAAAAAAAAGATTATACTTCATGATCAAGTAGGATTCACCCTAGGAATTTAGAGATGGTTCAACACATGCAAATCAATGATTGTAATATACCATTTTAGCAGATCCAAGGACAAAGATGTGGTATCTTAATAGATGCAGAAAAAGCATTTGACAAAGCCCAACACTCATTTATGGTAAAAGCCCCAGAGAAAATTGTGATAGGTGGTTTTTATCTAAATCTGCTAAAGCTGTCTGTTATGGTTTGTATCTAGGTGTCCCCTCAAAGCATCACGTGGTCACTGGGATGGGCTTCTAGACATTGTGATTAATTCATGATCCAGTGCTGGGACTGTGTGTGTG